ACGCCTTTAATCCCAGTACTCAGAGGCAGAGGCAGGCGGATCTCTGAGTTCAAGGCCAGTGTGGTCTACAGAGTGAGTTCCAAGACAGCTAGGACTACACAGAGAAACCCTCTCGAAAACCAAAAGAAAGTGAGAGAGAGAGAGAAATAAGAAACCCATCATGTAGCACGTTCAACCCATTGTATTTCTTGTGCCAAAAAACCACATTTCTATGACTAGCTATGTCTTTATCCTGCTCTTCAAACTCATCAGTCAGCATTACTGGTTGGAGCTTAAATACCCCCTTGTTTCTTTACAAAATAGATGAACTTCCTACAGTTCTGTCTCCAAACCTTAGTTTCACCCCTGGGTAATTATATCTCCCAGGCTCCTAGCACGTGAGATGAGAATCCTCACCTCCAGGGAAAGACTGCATACCCATTTCAAGGATGGGAACAATGTTAAACATGCAGTGCTTCCCATTTCATAGCAATTTCCCAGTTGATTTTCTAAAAATACATTAGAGACAGGGATCTCAAGGACTCACGGGTGGCCTCTTGCATAAACTCCCCCAAAACATACTGTTTTTAACATTGTCTACTCGGGCCCACCAACTGTATAGGTCAACAAGTGCTAGGAAGTTCACACGCTCACACTTCATATGGATGTCTTCATCCCACTGTCTGTGTTCCAAGTCATCCCAAGAGCAACTTAGTGAAGTGAATTCATGTACGTTCCTGTGAGCTCATCACCTTTGTACATTCCGATGAAGCCATGCACAAGATGTTAATGTTGAGAATAAATTGCACAAAACTGAGGTTGGCCTATTTGTTTATTTTTAGTAGGAAATGGCTGGGGAAAAAAATTATCAATGGCAGCAGCTGTTTTAAAAAATAAGCTTGAGGTTGATTTGGAAAAACAACAACAACAAAAACACAGAAAAATGAGTAAGACAAAATGATGCTAGGTCCCCACCCCTTTCCCTGTCTTTTAGCAGAAACACCTCCAGCGGCAGAGACAAGACCACAAGTGAAGGCTGTGCTGAGCTACATGATGTACCAGGCCGCTCCTAAAGAATTAAAAGGACTCCTCCAACTCCAGTAAATGCATTCCATACAAAGGGAAATGGGTTTTTTTTTTTTTGTAACAAATAACACATTTAGGACTTGATGTTTTTCAGAGAACAATAAGGAAGGCTGTAGCCACACACACACAAAATTATTTTTCTGCTTTGAATTACAATTTAACCGGAGTACAAGCAAATGCAAATTAAATGTATGCATATTTATGATTTCACTGGCTGGGTGACAGGGCCACCTTTAGCGGCTGCCTTTATTTACCAGAACAAAACCACCCTGCATTTGTTTCTATTCAAACAGGTCCCTTTCTTCAAGCCCTGGTTAGAACAAAGTATTAATTATGAATCGGCTGGTGTATCTTAGTCATGAGGATAACAGTATATGGACAAGAATGAACATTTTTCTCTATAATGGCATTTATTTAGACAATATTTAAAAACATAAATAGGAAACCATATACCTGCCCTACAAATCACTGGCAAACAGAAGTTTTCAACAAATCTCTATGGTCCCTAAAAGTCAAAACTGCACCCTCAATGTAAATCCTGGCACAACTTTGAAAATAAACCCCTTTAACAACAATGCTACATTAGCTCTGGCCTTGGGCCAGCATCCATGTGACCATGAGTGGGTCACATGACCATGAGTGGGTCAGTTTACTTCCTAACTCTTCAGCTTTCATACCTGTAAATGGTGCATCTCTAAACAAGTGAATGTTGCCATGTGAATTCTTTATCAAGAGGAAAGGTATCCCAACCCCTAGAAACAGCAAGGTCTATCAGAATATTTAAGATCCCCTGTATTTCCTGGCTCATTCTTCCTTTCATAAAACAAAACAAAACACTGTTTTGGTTTTTGTATATAAGAAGGGGTGGAAAGAGAAGAAACTTCTTAAAGGGAACGGAAACTAGGTTGGTTTCACTAATTAGGTTCCTCCTCCAAAACCACGGAGCCAGTGTTAGTAGCTGCTGAAACGGACCTCAGTACCCTTGAGTAAAAAGGAGAGGTTGGTTTCTCCATCTCCAGACAAGCTCTTTCACAAACCGACACAAGTCAGTTTCTAAGGATGGCTCCTTCAGCCAGCTATTCGTTACTAACAGGAGGTAGGAGGGCATGAAGAAGAGCATGACATGGATGGAATGAGTTAAAGAAAAACTGTTTCACGCGATGGACTCAGGAAACAACACCGGTGATCAGCAATGGGCTCCTGAGAAGGCACAACTCACCTCACAGTAAAATTATCTTCTGTGCGGGGAATTTACATGTGAGGTACCGTCTGTTTTACAGCATGCTTTCCTTACAAATGATTTCATTCACTTCCATTAACTTAACAGCTGCGGGGGCGGGGTGGGGGGGGAGAGAACATTGGTATTTACTATATGCAAACTACAAAGCTTTAAAAAAAAAAATGCCCAGGGGGTAGTGGCACACGCCTTTAATCCCAGTACTTGGGAAGCAGAGGCAGGTGGATCTGAGTTCAAAGCTAGCGTGGTCTACAGAGTGAGCTCCAGGACAGTCAGGACTACACAGATAAACCCTGTCTCAAAATACCAAATTATTTAAATGAATAAATAAATAAATGAATGTATGCATATACTGTTGGAGTATAAAACCAACTTGTATCTGAGAGTGCTTTACCATGAAAACTGTCAAGTCAAACAGAACCACTAAAATGAAGACGCAGGTGGTAGATTAAAACACAATTGTAATTTTCTTTCCCTCCATCAAGTGGTCCACAGTCAAAGTAAGAAAAAGTTAACTGAAGCTGGAATCAATGATTAGCTAAAGCCCGTGGCTGATACAGGGTAGACGGTTTTTTTCTTCTCCTAAACTTCAGAGAGAGAGAAAGAGACCTAAAGGAAGTAATACCACATTGCTAGACACCACAGAACGCTAAAGCTGGCAAAAAGAAACAGAAATCCACAGGCACTTTTCGATTTGTGTGAGAAAGATGTTAGGCTTGGAGGTGTATGGTCTGGCACAAAAGCTGGCTGGAGCTGCAGCCCAGGTCACCAACCAGCATGCTGAACAGCATGACCTCATCCTGATCAGAAGTGGGACAATGACAGAGGACACAAAGCCCCAAGCTGTCAGGAGATTAGATGAACTCTCCTCTCGGAACCTCCACTCAGAGGAGAAGGGGTGCACAACTTCCATGGTTGCCTGACCCCGAGTTTCCTCACATCTGCAGCATATGAATGGTAAATCGCAATGAGACTGTACTGACCACCATGAAGGCAAGACAAGTCTGGTCATTAAAAAAACAAAAACAAGACTTCAAGTCCTGAGCTGGTTCTGAGTTAGGAACAGTAAAAACCTGGCTGTGACTCTAACAACCGCTTGTCATGATGACAAATCCCAGAATCCAAATCTCCTATGCCTCCTGTAAATGTGCAATTATCATCTCTATCTCATCTCCCTCAGAAATGGTTGAAATAAAATTAGAATACTGAAAAGTATTTAAAAGCTGCAAAACACTGATGCAAATATTAGGTGGCATTCTTCAGTCCCTCCAGTTTTCTTAGTTTGGACAAAAAAGTAATGTGGCTGAATCTGTAAGCACCACACAGCTTTCCTTTCGAAGATGGACATCCCACACCAAGAGCAGACTGACTGCATTTCCCATCTGTCCTCGGGGGTCTTCACCTTTGCATTTCCTTCAGCTCAGAGATCACACATGAACACTTAAGGCTCAGTCTTGAACTTGGTTGGGCAAGATTTTTTTTCCAGGGGTTCCTTTCAGCTGGTAGCCCTCTGACAAAAGCTTCCTGGAACCCCATTTATTTCATCACACTGGAGTCGAAGGAAAACCAGTCCTTGGACTTTGATCTACTCCAACAACTGCAACAACACGGCAGGCTCTCCACAGAACAAGAGGGAAGTCTCCCGGAAGAGAGACAAAAGGGGCCCTCCACGCCGAAGTTCAAGAGAGCGAGAGCAGAGACCACTTCTTGGGTCAGATTAACAAGTTCTCAGTCCTTATGGGCCATTCATTTTACAGTGGGGACCTCTAACTAGCTGAGAATGTCATCTAGGGGCAGCATCAGGGGGTGTTACTCGGGGGGAGTCAGAGTGCATTTCCTTTAAATAGCATCACAGTAAATAGCAGATCCTTGTTCGAAGCCCTGATTTCAGTGGGCACGAAGAAAAAATTCACGAACCTACCCAAACAACTTCTCTGGAACAGGTTTCTACCCAAGCATGCTGTGCACGGCAGACAGCCGGCTAAGGGGGTGGGGGTAAGAAATGAGAACATGCTCATCTGCATAGATGAGAGATAAGCAGACATTTGTTGTCTTCGGTTCCGACGACTCCTGGCACCAGAGCGGCAAATCCAACTCCAGCACTCTCCCACCCCGTTGCCCCATACTCCCAGCCCCCCGCCCCAGATGTTGAAGCATCGCGTTGCCTGGGTCAGTGGAGAGAGCAGACTCGTAAAAGTCCGTGGCTGTTTTTAGGCTGGAACCATACCTCACCTGTTCCATCCAGCGCCAGAGCCAGAAATCACCAGAACACCGACTCACGCAAGCCCCTCTGGACATCCCAGGGGCGCCTAACAAGTTCGCCGCTTTTGAGTAGCAGGGGAGAATGACCGGGACACCTCTCCCACTGCAACCAAACTCAGCAGATTCCCTTGAAACGAGGGAAGGGGCTCTGGTTTAAGTGAGCCGGAGTGATCAGCGGGTGTCACTGCCACCCCAGGAATTGGGGTGGGGAGCCGGTGGGTGCCCACGGGGAGTGCGCAGCTGAGGCCCCCCCCCAAGGACCGAAGGTCCTGGTTCGGTGACCACGGGCGCCCCCTCCACGTCACCCCCAGCACAACTCACGCAGTCAAAGTGGCAGGGTGGAGAGCAGGTCAGGTCTCAACAGAGACACAGAGCCCCAGGCGCGGCGGCTGGGGAGGGTGTAGGCAGGGTTGCCGGGGACGCGCAGGAAACTTACCTCCCCCGGCCGGCGTGCTGGAGCTTCGGCGGCCAAGACCAGTTGCGCCACGGCGGGCAAGTTGTCGGGATGTCGCGGGTTCCCTGGTGGCTGCGGCGGGCAGCGGGCGGGGCGGAGCCGGGGCAGCGCCGGAGGCGGCAGGTGCCGGGCCCTGCCGCGGGGCCACACTCGGCTCGGACACGCGGTGACGGGGACGCGCGGCTGCGAGTGTGCAATGCGCGCGCGCCGCGGCCGGTGTGCGTGTCCCCGCGTTCCCCTTCCTTCCCGCCGCTCCTCTCGCCGGCAGAGTAGCAAGCGGACCACCAGGACCCGGCAGCCGCGGGCGGCAGGGCGAGGCGAGATCTGGGGTGGAGGCCGAGGAGTGGCAGCACCCGCCGGCCTCGGGTCCCCGCACGGCGCGCCGGAGTCCGAGCGAGGCTGGCAGCGAGCAGGCTGCGCGGCGGCCGCGACTCCGGGAGGCTGCAGGCCCCGCCCGCCGGCCGCCCAGGCTCTTCCCCTTTTCTCTCCACCCCCTGCTCCATCCCGCACGCCCTGCAGGGAAGCCAGACCGGTTTGCAGCAGTAGCTCGGCCCGCGGTCGCACCTAGCTCCCGAGTGCGTGGGGACTGTGCACCGAGTGCCGCTGTCCGCAACCTGAACGGGAGGGCAGAGGTGAAGCGGCTTCCTGGAATTAGCAGGATCCTCCGAAGCTCCAGGGCTTCTAGGCGCTTCTCCGAGTCTTGAAGCCCCACGGCGGAGCATTGTGTTGGGGTAGAGCGTGCCCCTGCCCCAGGCAATGCCTGACTTGACTCCTCTTCCTTGAGGAGCCAGCACTTGAATCACAAGCTCCCCCTGTCCACGAGGAAGGGACAGGCAAAGGTTCTGAGACCACCGCTGCCCCCCTTCTAAGGATAGCAGGTGCTTTAAGGAAGGTAGACCTACCCAACAGGTAGGGATAGGCTAGTGAGGGGTCCCGCGCTAATGCGCAGCAGTGGGGCGCGCCTGCTGGAGCTACTTGGAATCTCACCTAGGTTGGTATGGCTGCAAAGAGGGTAGGGGCCAGATCTAAAGATGTGTTTGGGGTTATGCTGTCCTGGACGCTAAAATTAAATTTATCCAACAGGCACAGGGAGGTAGAGATTCCTTCCAGATGGGTCGAAGCAAGTGGCATTTTTCAGCTTCATCATTTCCTTCCACTTTTCCTTTCTAAAACAAAACAAAACATGTTCTGTTCGGGGAAGGCCAGCATTTGATGATCCTTGCTTGAGGGGGACACTCCCTTGAGGTTCTGCAAAGAACACTCGTCTGCAGTTTTGAAATCTTTTATCCCCCCCCAACTCCAGCGAGTTTGTCGTGGTTTAATATCAGCCTAGAATGGCGCACAATACTTCCTTTATAACAAAAATTGCATTATTTTAAAGTTTTATTGAAGTGAAACGGACAAATCAAATAGATGTGAACTGTTATTTGGCTATATTCCCAGTGTACTTCTTTCAGGTGTGTCTGGCCACTACAGGAGATTAAGGGCATCATTGACTCAGGACCCCTCTGACTTGGGTCCTGGCATCCTGAACTTATTAAAGCACACAGTAAGAGCAGACATGTGGCCCGGCTTGCACGCTTTTCAGATGAGAAAACCATGGCTCAAAGACATCCAGTAACTCACAGACCAGAACACAGTTTTCCTTACTCTTAGTCCCTGAACAAAAAGTAACAGAAATACCGGCTTAACAGAGTTCAAGATGGGGCCAGCGGAGGGGGCAGCAGACAGAGGAGCAGATCAAAGATCAAAGAACCTTGCAACCTCCTGCTGTGAATCACTGTCTAGGGGGCAGCATCACACTGCTCTTAGCAGCAGACTAGCTGAGCTCTGGGAGTGGGTAATCATAGTCTCCCTTTGCGCGCTTCTCAGACTTGCGCTATGAAATTCAAGGAGTGGGAAGTGAGTTTGCTTCCCAGAAAGGCGATGTCACTAAAAATGCCACAGGGGATATGAAACAAGGCAAAGCCAAACCTAAACGAAATCGCAGTGGATCAAAACTGGCCAGATGCCTTACACTCAGACACCCCGGTCGGTCGCGTGCCTCCTCCACACAGTTGCTTTTCCCATTAACACCTAGACTGCCTTCTGTAATCAAAGAAGCAAAGAGCCTTGGGCTTCCTTAGAGCAGTCCCAAAGCCAACTGCCTAGTGGACATTTAGAGGGCTAACGCTGTGAAACGGGACTCTAAGAAATTCCACAAGAGCCTTGATACTGCAGTGTTAGTTCTGTGTGGAGTGAGACAAAAATTTCTTCCTGTAGGGATTCAGGAGAGTCCCCCTCTATTGGAAAGAGAAGAGCACCGATGTCACTAGCAATAGTGACTTGGCCAGAAAATCTTAAAGTCTATTTAAAGACCAGAAAACACTCATTTAAATATTTTACTTAATTTCAAATATTTTTCCAATTGATTCCAGATCTTGGTCCAAAGTCTTAATATTATTACTTGATACTATTCTTACACAGGAGACAGGCGTGTGTTTCTTATAGCAAATTTGATAATATTAATGGTCCCCAATTGATAACTTGCCTTTATCAGTGCCTTTCCTCCTGGGATTTATCATGTGAGCTACTTTGGCCAATGGAGCAAGAACACACATGATATAATGGAAGTCTTGAAAACTGCATTTCTGTATCAGCTCCTGGGACTCTGCCATTCCCAAGCCGGCTGCTGGACAAAGACCCTGGCGAGCAAGAGCTGAGTCATCACAGGGGAGCTGGCTAGCCAGCCCTCATTTGATTTCAGAGGCACAAACAAGTCCACGCCAGCTTAGTCAGGCTTGGTCCAGATCAACAGACCATACACCTGCACCAGAGATTCTTAACAAATAATGAGCTGCTACTGTAGGCAACTACTTCAGTTGTCTACTGCTGCCCAAGAAACCAGGCTGGAACACAGTACCCCAAAACACCGATGACTGACTAAGCACACTCTAGACAACTCATCTGAAGACTCACTTGGCATCATTCCCCTGGCAGCTAAACAGAGCTGCACGGTGCTAGAAGACCACGCTAGAATATCAGGTACCTTAGTCCTCCACCATATACAGAACCTCTTACTTCTCATATGGCTGAGCTGGGCTTCTCGACATCAAGACAGCCATACTTCTTCCATGGCACCCAGTTTGTAAAAGGGAGAAACTAGAGACTGCCAGGTATTTTAAGGACTGAACTTGGAAGTTCTATGCTATTTCCAGCTCCTCCTGTGGTCCACTATGGATAGCTCATCTGTCATGGATGCTGCAGCGAGAGAAAGAAACCCAAACAAGAGCCCAGAGGAAAGGCTGGGGTAGCTGTTGACATCAGACGGCAGAGCCTCTACCTTTCACAATTCTGGAACTGTCTTCTTTCCATGGAAGTGTAATTTCTAAATGGACAAGGGGGCTTAAATGTTTTGTACAGCCTGATTTTTCTAATTGTGGAGGGCTGCTTTACCCTGAGAACCCCATGTTCTCTGACTTCAAGTTCACTTAAGAACAGCCAAGTCTTGAATCTCATTCCCACTTTCCCTTCTTGTTATTGTTTATTTAATCATCCTTTACTCTTTTCCATTTCTTCTGGTCATTTTCTCTCTCTCCCTCCCTCCCTCCCTTTCTCTTCCTCTCACTTCCTCCCTCCTTCCCTTCCTTCCTCCCTCCATCCCTCCCTCCCCCTTCCTTCCTTCCTTCCTTTGCCCTTTTTTAAGTTTCTATCTTGATTCTTGATTGTATAAAAATATTTTATACACTATATTCTGATCATGGTTTCCCCCTTCCTGAAATCCTCCCTACCTCCACACCTACACCCAACTCTACCCCTTCTTTTATCTCTCTGTTAAAAAAAATAAGAAAAAAAAAACAAGAAACACATACACACAAAACTCCAGAAACTAAAATACACAAGAGAAAGACCAATAAGACAAAAAAAAAAAAAAAAAGTCCAAACAAACAAAAAGTCTACAAAAACACCATTGATTTGGTTTTGTGTCGGTCAACTATTCCCAGACATGGAGCCTAACCTAAAGTGTGGTTAATATACTCAGTGAGAACCCATTGGATAAAACTCTTTCCCCTTTGCAAGAGGAATCAACTACAGATAGCTTCTAAGTTAGGGGTAGGAGCCGGCCGGGCTCTACTTCACCCTCTTGGTGCTGGGATCCCATCTGGCTTGAACCTGTGCAGGGTCTGTGCCCTTTCCCTTTCTTAATCCTAGCCATCCATCCCTTTCCCCTCCTTCCTCTCTCCTATCGTGCTTCAAAAGGCCATTGAAGTAGGGATCGTAAGACCTGTGTGGGGGTTTGATTGAAAACTCTCTCCCATAAGCTTATGTATTTACGTATTTCAACACTTGATCCCCATTGGTGCCACTGTTTGGGGATGTGATGGAACCTTTAGGAGGTTAAACCTTGCTAGAGGAAGTCACTGGGGGTCCTGTATCATGCCTCCTTCTAGGCCATGCCTTTCCTACCTGAGGACTCTCTCCCTCTGGAAATGCAAGCTGAAATAAAGCCTTCTTCCTTCAGTCACTTTTAGCTATGCCGTTTTATCACAGCTACAGAAAAGTAACTAATACCATTTACCTTCTCATCCCACCTCTGTCCCTACAGTGCTGAAGTCTGCATTCTCTTCTGGTTTTAGACTCCTGGTGTACCTCACCAGGTTAGCAGAGACATGCTCTGAAATCTCTGAAATGTCCCTCAGATTTTTCACATTCTAAGATCCTTAAATGCCTTCTGTAGTGTAAACAGTGGCACAGTCTGAAGGAGGTTTGGATAGTAAGGACTCTCTAAAAGCTTGTATGATTCCCAATACCTCAAAACTTCCCACTTTTCCCTTATAATTAGAAAGCATGAAGCTTTTCCAGATACAAGCCCTGTTTTTTTTGTTGTTCTTGGCCCAAGGTTAGCATTATCCTAGCTCTCTTTAAAACTCGCTGATGTCTACATTCTTCAGTTAGAAACAATATGAATCCTAGAGGCCCAACATTAAAAGGTATACAATTCCAACCCTAAAACATTCTTCCTCCAAAACTTAGGAAATATGAAAAAGAGTTAAGAAGTGTTTCTTTAACAAATTTCTACCAAAACAAAAGTATATACGCTAAGATTATAGTTGCACACACAAAAAATCGAACATAAAAAGCACTTGAAATTATATCACTAAAAGTTGAAGTATTCATGTTGGGTAGGAAGTTGCAAAGTTTTTTTTTAATTGATGCTGTGTTGCATTTTTACATTTAAAAGAATATAAACACTGTAAGCATTCCTAGTTTTCACCCACCTGTACAATCTATTTCCTGTCAGATTTCTTTCTTCGACAGCTTTTTCTAGGAACAGACTCACAGGAGCATCCTTTTTATATGAATTTTCCCTTTGCCCATGAGCTACAAAAACAACATAAACCTGATTTGTTTGAAGAGTGGATTGTTTGAAG